GTTTTCGGAAAGTCATTCGTAAGCAAGATGTTTTCTCGCAATATGGGAGGGATAATGGATAATGAAGTATATACCAAATTTGACTTCGTATTATTTTCGTATGATTTGAGTGCTTCAATCAATGAATCAAGAATACAACTGAGACTGTTCTCCTTTCATTGAAAATTTTTAATGAATTAAGAACGTTTTGAAGACAATTTTCGATTATTTCATACCGTCTGTCCTAAAAATTGTTTTGTCCATTCTGAAAAATTTACAAAAACAACAATAAACATGATTGCGCGATTGCAATGAAGTGTCTTATAATTTGTTTGTTTTTTATTTTATTATCATCATCTTGCTTATTCAAGTCAAGGTTCTTGATTCAAATTGAGAATGACGAATCAAGGTACATAATGTGATCATAGAAACTCGTCCCTAAACAAGAAAAATTTAAAAGTTAACAAATGAAAGAAAATCATATAATTATATCTCAACTAACCTAAGAAACTCTCTAACGATCAAGAATATCTCGATCTTTTTTTTTTTAACGAGAAAAAAATATCTCAATCTTGACCCATCAAAACTAGAGCGAACTATAAGGTATACAAAAAAGAATAATGCTAATTATATATAAGGAATTAAGGAAAGTTTTAAAGATATATGAGGTAGCAAGAAGAGAATGGAATTTTATTTATTTATTTTTTTGGTTGAAATTTTTTTTGACTCGTCATATTTCATCACATCATGTGTGTATATATCAAACCGTAACTAGTGATTTATATGTAGCATAACTATACAAAAAATTGTTTCGCTTGTCACTTGTACAATTTAGTGTTATTTCTGTGGGTTAATAACCCAAATTGTCACTGAACTTTGTAAAAAGTTTTCACAAGATTATTGAACTTTAAAAATCACTCAAGTCATTACTGAACTTTGCAAAATATTTACACGGGATCACTGACCTTTGCAAAAGGTCTCCATGGTTCACTAAACTTTAAAAATCACTTCATTCATAACTAAATTTTGCAAAAAGTTTTCCAGAGGATCACTAATTCCGCGATTCCCTGGGAAACATCTTGTAAAATTCCGTGACCATGTGGAAATTTTTAACAAAGTTTAGTCCGTGTAAACCTTTTATAAAGTTTAGTGATAACTTGGGTGATTTTTAAAGTTCAGTGATCATGTGAAAACTTTTTGCAAAATTCAGTGACTAACCCTTATTTCTGTCGATATTCGTTACTAAGACATGAAGTCCAAGCCCAGTTATTTGTATTTGCTCGGCTCGTCAAGTTATTGGTAGTATATACAAGTTCAAATACGAGCAGTTCATATCATTAAGGAAAATAATCCACCTACTAACGATAAAAATTGAACTGGCAAATGTAGAGATATACATAGGCTAAACTATGTCACCACCAAAAGCTTCATATCTAGCATACAAATAATTCTGATATAAATATTGGGACCAAGTGGCATAACAAATTAGGCGGCACCCGGTGCACTCTCGGACTTTTGATTTCTATTGACTCTGCAGGATGTGGTAGTTCATTCCTGCAGTCTCGCTTGCATTGGAGGGTTGATCGGAACGTACATTGGTGTTATCTACACCTAGAGATTGTGACTCGCCTCCTTGAGAGGATGCCGATGCACTGGGGAACACAAGAGATGGCATGTAGGGTCATGTGATCCCCCAACTTTTGGACAAAATTTTTTATCATCATCACCATCATCATCATCATCATTTTGCCTTTGAAAATTGTTCATTTCTTGAGGAGAAAATGGAGATTCAAGATGAAGTGGGTTATGCCTACATTTATCCAATATTATCGATGCAATGCCAGATATCTTTCAAAATGTTGGCTTCGACGAAAATCTTAGGTGTATATTCCCTTTGATTTTTATTCTCTTGCATTCCACTAAATTTTTTTCCATACAAACAAAAATTATGCTAGAGGCTATAGGTTACATACAAATCTGTAAAGCATAACTACCACTCTTGAAAAGATCAATTTCATCAGCTACCTATTTATAAAAGGAAAAGTTGTATTCATCTGCTCTACATAATTTATGTTGTTGCCTTAATAGTTCAAACTCAAGACAGTTCTGTTACACGTTCACAAAAAAATTGATTAGTGTCACATCACCGACTAAACAAGGAAGAAGAAACAAAAGAAGCCGGTCAACTTAAGTTGTCTATGAAATTTAAATGCAACTAGTAGGCCAACGGCGGTAACTTATAATTCCAAATTTTTATTTTTTGACAAAAATTCAAAGTGACTAAGAAAAATGTGTTTGTGTTACATTTATAATTTGTTTTCATTGTGTCATGTCTGGAATGAGTTTGGAATGATTTATGTTTTTCACACTTTTTTTAATTGTATCCCCTAACTCAAAATGTCAACATTCGCTAATGTACCGACGAGAATGTTTCAGGAGTGGTAGGCTTGGACTTTGGTTTTGTCAAAATCAGACTGCTTTAGAAATGACAATATCAAATGTACTTGGAAAAAAAAATGTACGTGGGTAAAAATAGAAATAAAAAAAAATAAAATTAAAGATACTCGTTGCCCAATTAAGCTTACTAACAGAAGTTATTTTTTCGAAAAGAATATTTTTCAAACATATTTAGAGCATGTTTAGACAGAATTAAAATCTGATTTTAATTTAAGTCAAAGTCAAACAATCAATATTAACCACATCTTTTATTGGTCTCACATCTTTTCAACCACACATTTTAATAACTTCTATCACAATCTACTAAAAATCTAATTTTAATCCCCACCAAACACTTTCTTAGATTATTTCCTATTTTCTAGTATTAAAGTGACTTTGTATTAACAAAACATGCATAAATCAAGAATAAATCTACTTTAGCTCGTTAGCCAAAGTATCTGATTTGCTGACCCTCAACTGCAGATTATCAGTCAACTTTTAAAGTCATGCATAAAATTACAAGCAAACAATAATATCTCCACGTAGAAATGATGCAAGTCTTAAAAGAATGTTCAAATTAAGGCCCGTGCTCATTTTTTTGGAAAAAATATTATTTTGGATAGTGAATTTTTGAAAAATGCACAGTTAAAAAGTAGAAAAAATGTTTGAGTTTACTTGTAGAATATTTTATTGTGTATATAGAAAAAAAGTTCTAGAATAATAGAAGACAAGCAGAGATTTAGATGACTATCCAAAAAGAGTAATGTTATTTGTAGTAACTCACTACCATTGTTGTCCTATGTGATATATATGTGAGTTAGTGATTTGATGCATTAATGTGGTAATTTTTATTGTCTTACGTATCAAATCATTAACCGTTACATGTATGTTATGTAAGACGATTACGATAGTGAGCGACTATAAATAACATTATTCATCTAAAAATGGCAATAACCTACTCATAATTTAGGAAAAACTCTCTTCTTTTTTACTTGGGGGAGGTGAATGGACTCGGAATTTAAACAAAAAAGAGTAATGCTATTTAACATCACTGATATTTAACATTAGTTTACATGATAGTACTAATGTTATTAAATTACGTATTCAATTAAATATAAGGAATTTTGGTTCATTTAATAGAATTTATGATATGTTGACACTTAAACTTCTGCTCAAAATTACTAATATTAGATAGCATTATTCAATAGCAAAAAAGGTGGTCCGGACGTGTCTAGAGATGTTCCGCTGTCTCTAGAAATATCTATTGGATACGGATTTGATCTCCTGTCCACAGTAGATATGATAAGAATTTTTCATTGTTGATGTGGTGCCTACCGGGGGACACGAGATCAAAAGCTCTATTGGGTACTCACTGATTTAAATTATTGGGCTCTTTCTGGGCTTTATTAGACTGGAAATGGTAAGGGTCCAGTACTTTTATTTGATGAATTTCCATATCCAAGCCCAAGGCTTTTCATATGTTTTAGAAAATCTCCAATGCCTTTCATGAGGAAAGTTTCATTAATAACCTAAAAAACTAAACTATTTCCTAAACTATCGTTTAATCTTTTAGTTTTATCAAAATAAATGTTTTTAAGTCACTATTTCACTTTTCATATTTTGCAACACTACGTTTGTAAGACATGTAATTGATTGAGTAGACATTTGTAACGTGTAACTACTTGTGTTATGCATTGTGTTACATAAATTCTAACAATAGTCTTTACTACTACTGCTAATATAACAACCGATGTCGAAACTACCGACACCACTGTCTACACTAGTTTCCACCACTACAACCATCATCAACATCAATTTGCACTATTTTTGCCACCAACATCAAACCCACCAAATCTACCATCACCACCGACAATCACCATCATTGTCATCCAAATCACCACAAATAAATCGTCATTCCATCTCACCCCTATAAAAAAAACCGCCATTACCACCATTGTCCCTAGCTCGCGATTCGATCCAATAAAGAAGAAGATATATTTCCTCAACTAGTTTTTCATTTTCCTTTTTAAACGCAAGCATGGTTTAGCAATATCCCATGAGGAAATAATTTGAAAAATAATGTTTTCATCCAAAGTGTCTTATTTGGAGCTCAATTGAACCCCCGAACTTGATTTATATTAGTCGATAATAAAATACTTTGTTCGTCTAATATTTTGAATTGAACTTATCAAACGTGCTACAAATGACTTCATTGGAACGGAGAATAACACAATTTATAAACAATCTAATGCATGCATCATGCATGAAGTTCAATTGAGAGAGAGAGAGAGAGAGAGAGAGAGAGAGAGAGTTTATAATAGGATGGAAACTTTGATGAAATCTCTATATGAATTTGAACTTTTTATAACATTATCTAATAGAGTCATAAGTGATTGAGCAATGCTTGGGCTACAGAATTTTTTTTACAGGGGTTCTACAGACCACACACGTGGTAGGGTCAGTGCAAATCTTTTTTTTTAATACATGTGGGGCCCACCCCACTGTGAGGGGCTTGTAAAGCCCTTTGAAACTATCCCCTGTACATGAGGAATTATTCTAAGTGATTCTGTTCGAAACAAAAATTATTACAACCCTATGAGTTGGGTATCGGTATTCGAGAGAAGTACACCACAATTTTCGCGCAAAACGAGTACAAGATCAACAAATGCACTTAATATGTACCTATATGACTTCTTGGCATTAACATTTAAATAGCAAAACAAGAGCTCCTCCATGAATTCCCAATCAACTTTTCCATTATTTTCCAATCTTGCTTGGATCATCTCATGCATGGATTGCCTAAAATCGTCATATGGACTCGGAGAATAAGTCAAAACTGTAAAAAAATCTTCAGGACCAATTTTTGTTTGATTTTCATTAGCATCTACCCTTGTATCCTCTGAAAACCCAGGAGACTCCAAAAAGATTCCAACTGGTTTTTCTTCGTTATTTTCTTCAAACCTTTTTGTCGACTTATCCTTTTCATGTAATGATTTGAGTTTTCCGTACAAAAATCGATCAACGTCTGATAATTTTGCTGCATCTTCACTTGTATCCTTGGATATCGTCTCCTCCATTAGTGAACTTGATGAAGCTGGGGTGACAAAAAATCTATCAGAACTGCAAAGATTTTCAGGAGGAGGATCCCAAATAACCCCACCAAGTTTTTCTTCACCGATATAACCTTCAAGCCCTTTTTTCGACTTATTTTCCTTGTATTCCATTTCGTATAATGATCTGAAATTTTCGTACAAAAATCGATCGACATCCGATAATTTTGGTTCATTTTCTTTACCATCAAGGGCAAATGAAGGGGTATTTGTGGTCAAAGACCAACCTGAGAGTGTTTTGATTTTTGAGAAATACCTTTGAATTTTTTTCTTAGGCATTTAATTTGTTTTACAAAAAACATATATAGGGTTTTTTGGACGAGAATTTGCAAGAATGTGTCGTGCCTTTTATACTGGAAATCAACTGAAAGTGTAACATTCAATAGGAATTAATTTAAGACGTTTATTTTCTTCCATTAATAAAGACAGATGGTAAATATTTAATGGAGAATTCATTGCATGTCAGAAAAATTATTCATTTATTTATTTTTAGAAATGCCTATAATTTCAGCAGGCAAAATAATTGAACTGCTCTTTAAACTAGAATTTCAATGTTGGTGGCTATATTTAGGTGTAAAATTAAGTACTTGTGCAGTTAAAAGATGAATAAATTTCTATTAATAGCAAGTTATATTATTATTTTGGGAGATGGAATTGGATAGTTCATTAACTTGAGCGTATATCGAGCAATATTATTAACAAACACGTAGTACATATGTAAATTCACTAATCAAAAAAAAAAAAGATGAACCGCATCTTTAGCGACCCCCACCTGTCATGTCCTGGGTCTTGGTGAAGGAAGTAAATCGCAGGTTATGCCTCCAAGGGTATAAGGTGGAAGGCTGCTTGTACACTTACACTTACCCAATGCTCAAATCTATATTTGGTTGAGTTAGTAATGGAAAAAATAAGAATAAAATACTAATTATTTTACAGAAAAGGGCAAAATTTATTAGAAGAGAAAAGTCAACGTAATTGTTTGTATTAAAGAATTTACTTTTTATACATTGGAAAAACTTTAAGAGCTTGTTTGGGAGGAATTAAAATCCAATTAAAATTGAAAATATAGTCGTTATTGGGTCTCATTCGTTTAATAAAAGTCAACAATAACGACTAATTTTTCAATTTTAATCTGATTTTAATCTATACCAAACACCCTCTAAGAGAGTGGTAAACGCAGTTAAAATATGAGGATGTTTTTTATTGGCTTTATTTTTTATAAAAGTTTACATTTTTCATTCAAATTCCTATTTTGGAATATTTGATTGACATTTTTCTATGAAAAATATTTTTCAAAGGTTGGTCGGTCACATGACGATGCTTTCCTCAAAAAATAAGGAAAATATTTTTTTTTTATCGGAGATAGGTTTTTATTTTATTAACAATTCACACTTTTCCAAAAACTCAACTTCGTGGAAAAATACAACATTTTTTAGGTTGAAAATTTAAAAAATCGAACGCAATTAATTGACAATTTTCATGCAATTGCCAAGAATTTATTTTCTTCTCATGCAAGTTTCATGCTTGAAATCAAATACACCGTAATTTTTTTTTTCTTTTTTCGGCTAAAAATAATCACATTAGTAAATTTTCAATATTCCAATTCTTATGGACTTTGTGGTAAGCGATTTGATGATATGATTGTACGACAAATAGGAAAACTTAACAATAAGAGAATAACGTTAAAATCTTATTTAGTCATTGTCTTGTTCCCATTATTTTCAAAATATATTTTTATTTCTATTATTTTAATTATACATTTTTCAATAAAATCATATTACACGAAAATTTAAAATATTTCCTTATTTTTTAACCACACAGTTTTCATCAAAATCTATTCCAAAATACATTTTTTATCACAATCACGTACCAGTCACAATCACAGAACATCACAGTCACAAATCACAAATTTTTTAGATCACAACTTATTTATCGGTCACAAATTATCAAATTAATTGATCATGCATTATTTCACAAGTTTTATAGATCACAACTTGTATCACAGTCGCAAATTATTTTTATCAATCGCATATTATTTATTAGTCACAAATCAATCATTTTATTGATCACAAACGATCTTCACTCCACCCCACTCCACTCCACTCCACTGCCATCAACACCAACCAAACGTCGCGCCACCTCACCACCACCGTTGGTACCACCTCCACCACCACCAACAACAATAACAAATGCCATTTGCAACTACAAAACAACTACCACCAGCCATCACCAACATAATTAACCCCGCTAACTAGATCGGAGGAGGAAGAAACTACCCAAAACCCCAAAACCATTGTCTCTGTGCGTAGCGGTTAACGCCGCTACGTGCAGTGCTGCAACGCTAAGAGTGCTTATGTCGTAATAATAATAGAGAAGAGGAAGGATACAGAGAGAAGAATGATGATAGAGAGAAAAAAAATTTAATAATAATATTATTAATATGAAATAAAGTGAATTATAACTTGGTTTTTGAATGATCAAGTTTTAAATCTGAATTTTGAATTTAAAAGTTAAAACGCATGTGTGGGTGTAATTTCCACTTTATAAATTCACAAAACCGTTGTTCCATGATAGAAGTAAAACTAATGTTCATGATTATTTGTTTTTTTTCAAGAGCGGATTCATGGTAGTCCAGGCCAGCTCAAGTCCAGAATAATAAAATACAAAATAATAATAATTTATATACAAGTTATTTGACGACTTCCTTAACAAATTCTGCATTTGTCAAACTTTTTATCAAAACATTTCTGTACAAATAAATTAATTCATTTATACATAGTCCAAGCACAAAATAAATTACAGTCCAGCCAAAGTTTACTTGCCCAGCCACCAACCTAAAATGAGATGGGCTAACTAATTGCCCAAGAAACGAGATAATTTAATCAATGGTCATTGAACTTAGCTATAAGTTACTACTTACTCATCGATCTTTCAAAAGTTATTCGTTTCTCACTGAACTTTGTTATAGGTAACACTAATGAAAATGATATGGGTGATTGAGTAACTTTGTTCAAATTTGGAGGACCAATGAGTAATCTTTTAATTTTCGGTAAGCAAGTAGTAACTTATAACAAAGTTGAGGAAATAGTAATTTTTTAAATTTCGATGAGTAAGTAATAATCCTAGCAAAGTTCAGTTATCATTGATTAAATTAACTTCGCAAGAAACATTTTAGTTCACAATGCACCGATGCCGATGAACTTGCATAGCGGTAGACGGTCTAATATATCGGTAAGTGAACTAGCCTTGTGGTAGACAGGCAACATAGCAGTAGACGGAATAGTGTAGCGGTAGGCGAACTTGCATCGTAGTAGACAGACTAACTTAGCAACAGTCACGCTATAGGCTTCATTTGACTGGCCATCGTAGTTCATTTCTCATATCATATAGAATCACCATTGGCCATCGTGGTCCGCTTCCCATATCATATAACATCAAATATATCGTACAAGCACCATTTTCAAACGTAAAATTGTGTTTGGTCAATTATTTTTTAACCGTGTTGGTGCCAGATTAATTAAAATCACGAGAAATTACTTATTCAAATACAATTTCAAGTGAGAGATTTTGTTTACTATTCCATGTTGGAATATTTTTTCGCTAACGGCCTAATTGAGCCCCATATTTTTTTTTAATATAAAATTTATTTGAAATAGTAGATTGATGAAGAATATGTGATTGAATAAGGAAAAATTTTGAATTTGCGTTTAATATTATTTTATTGAAAAGAAGAGTGGAAAAAATATATTTTGAAAAAAAAAAAAAAGATCAAACTGGGTGTAAGTTTAATACGTCACTGTCCCCTAAAAGTAAGCAAAAATAATGACTTATTTTGTTGCACTCATTTTCTAGTATTTTATGTGATGAGCATGTGCGTAGGGTATTTGTTTAATTCCAGAGTCATTAATTTTTTCTTCCTTTTTAATAACCTAATAATAGCATTTTGTGCACGTAATCTACCATGAAAATTGTATAATCCTCTCACTATTTTTCATCGATTAA